GCAGATTTCAGATTCCAAATTAATTCATCTATTCTGCTTCCTTAAATAGTAATAAAAGACAGAAAACAAGGACTAATGAATAATGTGTATTTTGGTTCCACTGTGTTTTTAAACCTCCCAAATTGTCACTTTTTTCTAGAGTCAGTATTTAACTACATTAATTACATGTGAGTTGTTTTCTTTGTTTGCCTTTCCTACTAGTGTAAATAGACAGTGTGGTCTGTGGAGGCAAAATGTCTTACTTAGTTTTTATTACCACTTACTAATTGTGTGACCTTGTACAGACTACTTACTTAATCTCTCTGTGCTATAGCTGTCCTGGTTTCTTCCTCTAAGGAATGAGGATAATAACTATTTTCCCCATAGGATTGGTACAAACAAGTGAACAAATTCATAAAAGCACTCAGCACAGTTCATGACATATAGTAGATGTGCATTAAGTGTTAGCTGTTACTACTAGTACTAGTAGTCCTTGTATATCCTTACAGAGTAGTTGTTGAAAACCTGCACTCTGAAGTAGGACTGCCTGTATTCAAATCTAAGCTCTACTATTTACCTGTTTTATATGTTAGTCAAGTTACCCGGTCATTCTGTGCTTCCTGTTACTTACGTGAGGATTCATGTCTTTACAATACTGGATAATTCCATTGTCTCCTTACGGAACTCAGACATCAATTGGTCTTTCTCATCTACCTTCCATGTCCCTTAATCTCTCTTTCATAATTTCTACTTCTTTCTCCCTAACTGCTGCATTCTGAATAATTTCTTCAGATTTATCTGGCAGATAAATTTATCTTCGGATGTTTGTTGGTCCACTGTTGGTCCTGCGTTATTTCCTTGCGTGTTTCTAAATTTTTAATTAACAGTTCATGTTTGGAATGGCTTTATCTGTGGGAATCCTGGGTTGTCCAGGTTAAGAGTACATTCTTCCAAAAAGATTTTTTATTTGCTTCTCCCAAGAACCACAGGATACTAGGGAAATACCACTTCTAATCTACTGGTTTAGGGTTTCTCAGACCATGCAGGTAATATAAAGAAACCCAAACTCAAAAGCTTATTTGATGGCAAATTCTTAGGAGAACTCTTTTTCCTCACTACAAGCCCAAAAGAAAGTGACAACCTTCCCTTTCTTCTCATTTTGCCAGTGAGTAAATTTTTCACATTCCATATATTGTTTTACTGAGGGTCCTAGTTTTATACAGGGATGGTCTCACTTCTAACTCCTGGCCTTGTATAGGCCTAAGACCTGGCCCTCTTTTTATATTTCTTTTAAATCTTAACCCCCTTGATAAGTGACTAATCCCCAACTCTCAGTACCACCTGTCAGCCAAATAATCAGCTCTTATGTAATACAGTTGTTCCTTGAGTAACATGGGTTTGAACTGCACAGGTCCACTTATATGCAGATTTTTT